CTACACAGGCACATGGCCCAACACAGGAGGGCCAACTCCTCAGGACAGAACTCAGCTGTTCACATACACCTCAAGGACAAAACACATTCCTTTGAGGACAACATTGTACACATTTTGGCCAAGAAGACAGATGGTTTGAGAGAGGGGTAAAAGAAGCCATTTTTGTCAACCTGGAAAAACCATCACTCAACAGAGGAGATGGACTCAGACACAACCTATCACTTTTAGGAACAATACCCAAAACTGATTCTCCTCAGTTTCACACAACAAAGAGGCAGGTGACTTAAACCGTTCTGATGGGGACCACAACGACCCATCAGACACTTAATGACTGTTTACACTTTCACAATTGACCCCAAGGAGTATATATCTGCTGTACTCCCCACCACCAGTTAGAACTGAAGAAGCCTCTTGGATGAGAGGTGAAACGTCTTCTTTTAGAAAATGCACGTCCAGTTGCTTAACAGAACATTTTTTAACCATGCTCAAAATATTGTTGCATCTACAATGTAACATGAACTATCTCTATATCAAGTCTATCTAGGTAATTCTATAAAGTAGTATAACATTAGTGCTATAAAACGGTTTTAAACCATTAATTTATAGGTTTGTTTTCCTGGTTTGCAACATCATCTCTGTGTAATGGCTAAGTTTATGCCTTTTCCTATCACATGTTTATGATACCATGTGATTACCTTTCCAGACAATGGTAATTAGGCATTATAGTTGACAAGATAATTGTAATTACGGCTATTTTTCAAATACAAAAACTATCTTTATCATCTTACAGTTGAGTAGGCACACAGGAGTCCTGAAGTCACCGAGAGACCATCTGGGCCTGGCACTTAACTATGGACTTCATATATATGGAAGTATGGAAACACGTTTGCAGATTTCCTGTTTTGTACTATTCATTGTTATCAAAGTAACCATGTAAATAGTTTATATGTTTAGCAGGAGTTCATGTTACATTGTGACTGCAGCAGTATTTTGTGCATATTCATAGCCAGAAAACATGCTGACAATGCTGGCCAGGCTTTGTCACATTCAAATTTTTTTTTGTTTTCTTTTTTTTGTTTTTTGTTTTTTGTTTTTTTACGTATTTCCTTATTTGGACAACTAACAACATATTTAAAAAAAACAAAACAAAAAAGGGCAGATGTTTCTTTGAAGATCATTTTCATCAATGGGATTTATTTATTTATTTTATTTTTAAGAATTGGAAAATAAAATACTAGTTTTTCAAGAAAGTCATGCCAGTCCATATACCTACTGGGATTACTAAACATGAACCGACAACCTGAGAATTTCATCTGTGACTCCACTCACCGTTGCTGTAGAGGAGCTGCAACTTGTAGTGAGTGCCGTTGTTGGTCTTTTCTCCTGTCTGCTCCTTGGAAAAAGAGAAAAGACGACAGACAAATGCAGAGCATGCAGTTAAGCACATCTGGGCCACAGATAAATACGGCTGGGCATCCCAATGTAGCACTAAGCACATTGAGTGGCTCCTAATCCTGAAGCTCCCCTTTTCCCTGGGAGATGCATCCAGATCACAGGGTTGTCGGCTCTATACTTATTTGGGACCTGTGTGTTGTGCTCATAAGCTGCACGCTTAACCTTGAGTCAGACGAGTCAGATTGAGTCTTTGTAGAGGTTGAACTCCCGTGTCTGATACAAACGCCTAAAACCATAAGATCAAATTTAGTGGAAGTACAGGTAAGGTTAGACAAGCATGTACGTGTGGGTGTAAAGTGTGTTCCATTGGCTGGAAAGTAGTGTACGTGAGTCTGAGCAGCAGTCGAGTTTGACAGAAAACTTTCCTTTCTGCAATTCCTCTGCCCCCTCCTCTAGCCACTCCGTTCTTCCTTCCCCCTGTCTCTTTCCCCCTCTCTCCTTCTCTTCTTCTACCTCCACTGGTCTTTCTAAGTGGTCTCAAAGGAATGCTCTCTGGTCCAATAACCCAGGAGGCTGGCATCACAGATACGGGAGCGGCAGAGAAGTTGGAAGAAAAGGAGGATGAGGTTGGTGTAGTTGGAGAACCCCAAGAAAGGAGACAGTTGCAAAGGAAGAAGTGAGAAAATTAAGATACATAAAGATACTGTAAGTTGGTAAGTAACAGATCTCCAAACTTAATATCAGACACCATGGGAGATAAATGGGTTCCTGGCTTTATGGCTCTGGTAAATGTACACAGAGGAACATTTATTTCGTCATGCCATCACTCTACCTCTCCGTAATTACGGAGCAAAAACAGATGCCAGCTTAACCATGCAGAAAATGAACTTCTCCACTGCTGTGGGTGCTCTGCACTGGTCTGTGTGGCACAAAGAGTCTCAGTGACAACTTTCTGCCCCACTGTTAGCTCCACCACTTGACTTCCTGTCTGAACACTTTGGAAATTTGCAGTAAAACTATATTTGAACTTCAGCTGACAAGGTGCTGTGCTCTTGTCATCCTCAGGGTGTAGAGATGTTGCCAGTTTAGGAGGCTGTAGCTCCACTCACCACAAGGCAAAAACATCCATCATCACATGGCATGAGGCCCACACTCATCTCTCTCTCTCTCGCTCTTTCTGCAGCTTCCACCCTTCCTTATTTTGGTCTTATGCTGGCCGAGGATTCCAGGCTCCCCATCCCACCCCCCAACTCCCGCTTTCCCCAGCAGCAGTTTTTTTAAGAATACTGGAGGGGGCATGGAGGAAAGGAGACTTTGATGATCAGTTCAGTACAGGAGCAGGCCTAATTTGCATTTTAAAAAGTAGTGATGTCCTCCTAATGAGGCAAGCTGCTAATTAGTCATTAGATATTCTTTTTCAATCTCTCATCATCAGCTCATTGAGGGTAAAGCTCGTGTAAACATGTAGCCGTCAGCTGTTCGATATGCTTGGTTTTACTGGGGAGAACAAGTGGAGCACCTACAGTAGGTGCAGTCCAAGTACTGATATGATTCATATGTTGTTCACATTTTAAGTTGGTTCTTTTTTCTTTCTTCTTTTCTTTCTTTTTTTTTACAGAATTTCAACCTTTCAAAGGTTTGCTTAAACACACCTTGTCATGCTCAACAAAGTCCACAAAGGCAGTTCTCTCCACTTCCACAGGTTGGCCGTGTCTGTCATACAGAGCCAGGACAAAGTGGAAGAAGTTGGACTTGCGGAGGTTGGAAGGAGGTTGTTTCTCGAAGTGAGCTCTGGACAGAGCGACTCCACTGTGGACAGAGCACAGATAAGTCAAGTCAGTTTGTCTTTATCAAAAACATCCAAAACATATACTGTAATATATAGGATTGTGTAAATGTTCTGCTTCACCAGAGCCATAACTGAGCTGGTAATGGAAAAAGAAAATGTTCATCATCGCATATAAATAGAAGGAAAAAATCCTAAACTTCTGGCTGTAACTCCAAATCCAAAATTAGATGTTGCATAAAGATGGCACTTAACATTGAGTTATTTTTCATATAATAAGGCACAAAATGATCAATTTCACCACCACCACTTTTAACTATAAGTATTTCCTGCAACATATTTTATATTAGATTTAATTGGAATATTTGCTATGGATTTTAGATAAACATGGTTTAATATACTTTTTCTAAATATGTTTAATTGAAGTAGAAAAATTAGAGAAAACGTTTTATTCCAAAGCAATTATCAAATGAATCATTTCATTCGATTTTGGAGTTGATGCTGAAGTGTATTGTTTAAAAATATATAGTTAAATATGTAAAGAACAACAAAAAAATATTTTTGATTAACACATAACACATATAAATATATAATTAAATAAAAATCTTGTCTTGGAAATAAAACATAAATTATATTTACATTTGACATTTAAGAAAAAAGTTTTTTTAACTTAACCTTTTTAAAAAGCCTGAAAAAAGTTAACATTTTCATGTTAACATGTTTCTAGAAATATTTAGTTGTGTAGGTTTTAGATAAATATTTGCTTATATATCATATAATTTCGACCAAAATATTAAACAAACATTGTTATTTTTATTTTTTATGGAAATGTGTATTTAAATCGTTGCACACTGTACTGCGTTTTAATTTAGAGCTGTTAGCTGTTACCTCAGGCAGTCAGACTGCAGTAACACACTTGAAGTGTGTGTGTGTGTGTGTTATAAAAAAAATTAATAATGTTGTGAAATAGGAAAATGATAAACGTGGTCCCCGTGAGTCAACGCCAAAACTGCAGTTACTGGTTACTGAGCAGAGAGAGGATTTAAGTGTTTACTTTAAAATGGCCATTCCGTTCAAATATGTTCCACGTTAGAATTTCTGGTGTTGTCACAAACATGTAGATAAATAATCTTTGACCCAAATAACTAAAATTCAATAATAAAAAAAACTTTTAAATGTCGGATATTATGAGGAAATCACTTTGTTTTCTTTATTCTTTTTCAAAAGAGGCCTGACCACACGGAAGATCATTTTATTTAATTATCCTCGTCTTTATGATATAATAATATCGAATGCAAATAAAAAAAACAATTTCTTACTAATAAGTTTTTGTGATTTTAGAACGGGAGTTTTGTTCTCTTTTGCAACAAGTTCAAATCTTTTGAAAACGTTAAAACTCCATCTAATATAAACGTTGATTTCCTGCAAGTGTCCGTTAGTGATGAACTATTTTAATGGCATCCATGAAGTCATTATGAGAGCAGTACTGTACCTCTGCGCCGCGACGTTCGCATCCACAACCCCGACGTTACGCACCCAGGAGCGGACTGGATCCATCTCGTCTCCAAGACTTCTCTCTTTTAATCCGCTCCCGTCTCGTATCAGATGATCCTGGATCCCAAACATTTAAGCCCTGCCTTTCCTTGAGATGCACTTTTTTGGAAGTTAAAAAGTCGGGTTAAAAAGTTGAATTGGGGAGCTTGAAGAACAAGACAAGATCCAATCACTCTGGTGCTTTGCGCTGCTCCAGAGCCCAACTGCAGAAACGGAGATTTCGCGGAGCTTTGGGGAAAAAAACGACCGGTGCTGTGTGATGATTTTTTTTAAAAAAACCTCCCACAGTGTCTTTCAAAGCTCAAACGATGGTGATAAAAACACTCTCCCAGTGATTGCGAGCACTGTCCAAGTGCAAATCTCCAAACGTCACCTCGAGTGCAATGGTCACCTGCTGGATGGACTCCACTCCTCACACAGCCCACAGTCCGCCTCAGAGTTTTCTTCTAAAGTATCTTTGTGAGTAAAGTCTCAGCAGGCCAGTCGGGATCAGACCAGAAGACTTGATCCCAGGACCAGGACTCGGAGGCTTGCAGTGAAGTGCTGTCTTAGAACATGAATGAGACCGTGTGCCGGGTTAGTGCGTGGAGGAGGGGCTTCAGTGCCATATGGGGAACCGATTGTTGAAATGGATGCTCTCATTGGTGTAGAGTGCATCCGTTGTTTGGACCCCTGCCAGATTCAGCATCCAACTGGTGAATCCGGCAGCAAAGTTTTCACACGAGAAGTTTGGACGGAGTGATGACAAACACACGCCGGAAAAAGCGTCAGAAAAGACCCACATCACACGGTGTTTACTCAGATGTTAAAGTTTTTTATTATTATTATTTTATAAATTTTATTTTTGATATTAAAATGAAAAAAGGGACAAAGCCGAAAAACCCCGAAGAAGATTAAAATGTAAAATATAGAGATCAAGGAACATTTCAAACGTGGGCCTCTTTGCTGCTATCACTCAGTAGGTTCACTCCTGGGTTTGGTTCACACTAATTCCTTGTAAAATCCCCCTCTCCTTCCCTCCCTCCCCACATCAATAGCCTCAGCAGCAAATCCTGTTTAGTCTTTTCATTGGAGGTGAAATTTAACACGAGTGCGCTCTCGACAGGCGCGCATTCAGCTCCTCCAGCGTCTGCTCCCTTGAGCGCAGCAGTGATTCCGCTGAGGAGGCATCGCATCAGTGTCAGCTCCAACAATGGCCGTCTGGTTGGTCCATCAATCTCCAGCAGCAGCATCGGACAGAGCTGTGCTCTGATTGGCGTCGGTGCCAGGAATGAGTTCTTAATCAACGTAACAGCGCGTCTGTCCACGTCCACACTGGTCATAGAATCAGTTATAGACACAAATAAAGACCTTTAAAGAAAAACGGGAGGTGTTCTATCGATAATCGAGGAGAATGAGTAGTCATGACAGTGGAACGCCTGTGGAAAAAAGTTTCTGATTGTGGAATTTATCACAAACATCATCGTAAAATTCACCGTACAAAGAAAATACATGCACATCAACAGATAATGATGTTTTAATTAGCTATGTTAGCTATGTTTTGGCCCTTTATCCGTTTTGTACGAACTATTTTCACTCCTTTTTTTTTCTTTTTCTTTTTTTTTTTTTTTTTTGGCTTTTGAAAAGGAAAGGTTTTGGGGGTTTTTTCATCCTCGGTTCCGTGCCTCTCACCGAGACTATTGTCTCCGTGGTTGGTTTTTATTTTTACACTTGGACAATGAATGTAAATCTCCCCCCTTAGGATCACGCCCCAACCCACCATCTGCCAGTGCGGGACAAAGTCAGATGTTCCCCAAATTATGAGCGCAGTCTTGGGGAATCCTGCTGCCGAGACTCCGCCCTGTCGCTGGTGCCTCACATACACAGAGACACAAATTTCCCTTGACATGATTGACAGCTCTGCTTAACCACAACATTAATGGCAACATTAAGATATGATAGCACAGTTTCTGAAATTCCTCCAGTGTGTGTTTGGACCGATACGCATCATCCAACCACAAGGTTTATATTAGAGAAAGGAAGCGGTCAAGTCATAAAATTATCGGACTGTCCAATTGTCTTTTACAACATTTTTACATTAAATGGCCGAGACGACAGAGAACGTCCATGGTGATTTTTTTTCCCCTGATATTTTCCTGGGATGTCAGTCAATTGAAATTCAAATTGTGTCCCGAATTTGAATAGTTTGAAGTTCTTGCGCGTATTTTTCCATGTGAGTCTCATCACTGTGTTCAGAGGACTTTTGATTGTGTTGAGTTCAGATACTCAGTCCATTATAACGTATAACAACTGGCGTAATGATTGTTTAAAAAAAGAATTCAGTGTCTGCTCTGATTTTATCACTCCAAGAATCAATGCATTAACAGGTTTTGATAAGGGTAAATATTTTTTAAAAATTCGTGTTCACATTATAACTTTATTAATTTGTTTGTTTCATGTCCATTAATATATTTTTTTAAAATATATATGACTTTGTTCCGAGGCATGACATATGTTAATACCTATAGTCTATACGACTTAGATTAGGGACCAAACAATAAGGTATTATTCAAATGGACTGAATTTAAACATTATTATTTTATTATTATTTTGCTATATTTATTTATATTAAACGAGTTTACAAAAAAAAACATCAAAAAATGTAAAAGTATTACAACCAGAAGAATGCTTAAACTTAGCAAATTCAACCAAACCAGATAATTGTCTCATAGTTAAAATCAGGTCATTTTCTAAACCGATAACAGGATAAAAGTCAAAGTTTAAACAAAGGTTGATCCACATTACACGTTTAAATGAAATTAAGAAAGACTGGGCCCTGGACCAGATTTTGATCACACCAGGATTGAGTCAATTTTCATTTCTGGATCTGTGTCAGTCAGGAAAATAAAAAGAAGAAAATTTAAGTGTAAAATCAATCAGATTTAGCACCATAATGGTTGTGTGTGTGTCTGGTGCGCGCGCGCGGGTCCACTGGTGTTGGAGGAAGGACTGTGATCAGTCTACGGTGGTTTTTGGAGCAGAGTGCTGAGGTGAAAACGGTGGGATTAGGCAAACCACAAACGTCTTTCTAATCAAGTTAACCCGTTGAGGCGGTTAGCCCCTTAGTTTTAGGGAGGAAGAGGAGGAGGGAAGAGGAGGTGGGGATCAGTGACTGCTTAACAAAACAATGGTCTATCGTGTGCCGCTCGTCCTCTCCTGCATTCTCCTGCTCCCCTGGGAACCTGAAGCCACTCTCTGTGGATGGCACTGTGTCCGCGGAGGTCAAAGGGGGCGTGTCTGCGTGTGAGTGAGTGTGTATGTGTTTGTTAGCGTGTGTTTATGAGGAGAGTAATGATGCTGATGCTGATGCTGAGGGCGCAGCAGCAGCAGCAGCAGCTGGTTTCCGTCCCCCTCTCTCTTTTCTCTGTGCAGGAAACAACAGAGTTGGTGCCACACACAACCTCTCTAATTGATCCCTGTTATTGTTTGTGTTTACGTGTTTAGAATAAGACGCAGATTCCCTGGAGGCTGTCGACATCTGCAATATTTGCACAGAATTATTTCCTACACACCAAAAACAATGTTCCTCTAACATTTGGATTCATCTGAGGGTGAAGATTGGACGGATATTAAGTATAAGGCAAAATATTTGATGCGTCAAATAAAACCATGACTAGTACTATCGACATTAATTATTATACAAGCGTATTATTATTTACTTACTATTACAGATAAACGGGGAGTACTGGTGAAAAAGTCAGAAAAGGTTTAGGTGTTGAAGTTACCAAGAATCTAGGAATGGTGGGAGTCATGGGGCCTCATTGTCAATGTTTGGTACAAAGGGATCTCCGACATTCTAGTAAAAGTCGGGAGTGGGGCCTGGGGGGCGGGACATCCAGTTGCAGGCCAGATTTGGGGGCTTCCCAGAGTTTGAGACCCTTTCCTCAGAGTAATACTATATATTATTTTTTTTAAAACTACTAAAAATTTACTACAAATATTTAAATTCAGAAACCCCATGAAGCCAATAATGATTGTAACAATTCTGTGGTTTAATTGCACATCACTGACTTTATCCATCAGGAACCTAAATTGTGTGGATAATGTCAGATTTCCTGAAGAGAAGGTCAAATCTCTGACACAAATGTCAGAATTCCGAGAACTGTTAAAAGAGATTTCTATGGGGAATAAAGAGAAATCTGAAGAAGAAAAAGGCAAAATGTTAATGTTTGGCCTTATTTTTGTTGATTCTGATTTGAAATTCTAAAAAAAATAAAATCCTTCAACTTTTGTTAATCCTCCACTGGCCTTATATTTAAAGTGAGATGATTTTGGAGGATCTGGATGAGCATATGTTAGCTTCAGCATCTGCCCTACACATTATGTCAAACTTTGATATGCTGCACCCTCTCCTCTCCACAGCAGACAGTGTGCAGACTTAACATAAAAAAAGCATGTGTGCAAATAAAACATTATGGCACTTTCCCTTTTACTTCTTATTTATTGCTCTGTGCACATTTACAAGTGTCAACCCCAGTGGATTTAAAAAGGTACCACAAGACACGCAGTGCTATTTTGAATGGAAATAGAAAATCAGATGCTGCGGCTCAATGCTAACTTTATCATGTTAGGAAAAGTTGGGTCAGAGGCAGATAGGAGGCATACATGGCATGATATATTATTAGCATAGCAGAATAATTCTAAGCTGTTATGCTAACAACTTTAACTTAACTTAACTTTATGTACATTAAATGCCTTATATCTAGCCATGATGAAAGCAGCCAGAGGTTTTTTGTTTGTTTGTTTGTTTGTTTGTTTGTTTGTTTGTTTTGGGGTTTTTTTTTTTTCAATATGATAAACTGGCCCCCAGTTTTCATTAATTACCAAAGTGCCTGCACCAGGAGAGTTTACCTGCAGTCCAATCTTATTACAGAAACGTCTATAAACTATATATTTTTAAAAGGTATAGCAAGTTATATCTTCAGTTCTCTTTAATACTTAAACCATTGAATTTAAAAAATGACGAAGTTTGGCCCAGCAATGATCTCGTCTCTGTTCCAGATTGTTGTAAACAGTAATAATTCACATGTGTTTAATACATAAAACATAAAACCAAACACCTTAAGAAAGCTTCGGGCAATTCTAACTTCACACTTGCAACCTGTCTCCACAGGACAGTCATCGCGTTTGCTTCTAATGCTTGAATTGTACGCCAGTGCCATCTGCTGGTCAACCTAGGGACATCATTGACTGGGTCCGTATTCGTCAGGAACGCTGAAGTCACTTTTCATTTCATTAAAAATGGTCCCTAGTTAGAGACTGACTGTCTACAGCTGTAGCACATCGCTGGTCTATTCAGTAAACAGCAGATGACCCGAGAAGAAACTGTCACTGGTCAGACCGTTGCCCGCAAAATTGGTCCTTAGGTAGACCTGGTCTCCCTTCTCCAGCTTTAAGAAGGTGTTACCACGGGCTGTGATTAAGTCATTCTGCTTTGTAGTGAATGAGTGCAGGACCAGCTCCCCATTACGCAGCAGATCTATGTTTCCAGCATTATTGTAGATGGTACAGTGGAACTGGAACTCATAGACACCTGCTTCAGGGCAGATGAATTTGCCAGTGTTGACGTTATAGCTGTGCTGTCCATTGTAAATCTCCTCGAGGCACATCCCTGCCTAGGCGCACTGAGAAGGCAACTTTGTGTTCTGTGAAAGTGGGAGGTACTGGCCTGGGTTTCTTTCCTGTGAGCAAAAAAAAAAATTAAT